CTAAACTATCCAGAATCCAAGGGCTCAAGGAGAGAGCATGAGGGCTATTTGCAACCCAGGAGACTCTCAGAACTGATTAAGCTTCATGATTATTCATCTGAGTCAAAACCCCTGTTAGAGCAGCACCAAGCATCCTTCCTTCCCATATTAAAACTTAAGCAGAGGGCCAAAGAAATTTCTTTAATTGTGTTGACTTGATTCATCTACCTGATGCTTATGGGGGGAGGTTAATTTAATTGATTTTCTATTATAAGAAGAAACATTTCCTCCAATGTTGGTGAGACATATTTGTGTTCCAGAATTTAAGCTAAGGTACATTCAGTGCCCCAGGCTTGGGATTAATTCTAAGCTGTCCCTGGGGCTTTGTAACAGTTTGGTGAATTTGGTTCTGCTGATTCGTGCTCTCAGCAAATTGAGAGAAACATCACTTGGAGCACCAGGGAATCATTGGACTTTGGACTCATTGGCTGAAATGTTTGTGTGAATAGTTGTTAACTAGCTAATCTGGCTTATTTGCTGCTCCCCATACACTGTGGTCTAGCTCCCCCCAAATATCAGGAACACCTTCTCTCTGCATCTTTGCTTCAGGATCCCCGGGTACTTCAAAGCTCCATTCATGTAATATCTCCTACTCAGGGAATCTCTTGACCCCTCACTCTCCCAGGTGATAGTGCTTTGCTAGCCCCTTGAAATTAGTTGAGGCTAATTTTGGCTATCCTTTGAATTAGCCTCCCAAATGGTTTCCTTGCCTTAAGTCTCTCTCTACTACCATCCTTTGTCCACAGAGCTGTCAAAGTGATTTTTCTAAAGTGTTGTGCTAACCATAATAACATTCCTCCAGTAATTAAACTCCAGAAGAGATGTTAATTAGCCCCTTTCTATAATTGTAATCTTTTTTTTTTTTTTTTTTTTTTGCTTTTTGGATAGGCAAACAGAGTCACACAGCTAGTGAATGTTATGTGTCTGAGGCTGGATTTGAACTTAGGTCCTCCTGACTCCAGGGCAGTTGCTCTATCCACTGTACCACCTAGCTGCCCCTATAATTATAATCTTCTTACAGAATATTCTCCTCCATACATTCTACAGTTCAGGTCCAGTTTTGAAGAGCTTATAGGTATCCCCTCCCCTCAGAGTTCTTAGAGATTAATTCGACCCTAGAGTATAAGATAGCAGCAGCTAGGTGGCACAGTGGATAGAGTGCTGATCCTGGAGTCCAGAAGACTCCTCTTATGAGTGCAAATCTGACCTTAGACACTCACTAGCTGTGTGACCCTGGGCAAGTCACTTCACCCTGTTTGCCTCAGTTTCCTCATCTGTCGAATGAGCTAGAGAAGGAAATGGCAAACCAATCCAGTATCTTCATCAAGAAAACCCCAGATGGGATTGTGAAGAGTTGGACACGACTGAAAAACAACTCATTAACAGCAAGAGCATAAGACGGGTTGGTTGAAGAAGAAACTGGAATCAGAGAAACCAGGTAGGAGGTTGTTGCAATAGTCCAGGCAAGTGAAAGGTGACAAGGCCTAAGGGCCTTGACAGTGGAGAGGAGAGGATGGGTGTGAGGGATAAGGGGAGTGCAGAGGCCAGAGGCAAAGTGGAAGTGCACTTTGTGGATTAGAAACTGAACTGGCCTGGACATCCAGGCAAATGGAGGGGCTCACTTTCTTTTTTTGTATGGGGCATTTGAGCTTTCGCATAGGCTGATCCCCTGCTCCTGGCACACATTTCTTCCTCTCCACCCCTCAGAATCCCTAGCTGCCCTTGACATCCAGCTCAGGTGTTTGCTGCCTTCTACCAGAAGCCTTTTCTGATCCTCCAGCTCTTCCCTGTTGGGTAATTTTTAGAATAACTTTGGGATTACTTTCTGTTTTCTTGTCAGTACACATATTGCATGCCTGTAGCAAAATATAAGCTTCTCAAGGGAAGGGACAGTTTAATTTTTGTCTTTGCATGTCTAGTGCCCAGTACAGTTCCTGGCACACAGTAGGCACTTACCATTGAATTGAATGAAGTTGACTTGAACCAGGTGTGTGTGTGTGTGTGTGTGTGTGTGTGTGTGTGTGTGTGTGTGTGAGTGTGTGTGTGTGTCCAAACATTCTGATTTGGAAACTCGCTTTATGCCTCTTGTTCGATCAGAGAGAGGAGGGGAGAGCTTGAGAAATTGTACCAGGTCTTCCCAGAAAGAAAATTGAAAATGGCAGTGAAGCATTGGCCTTAAAGGTAATCTCCCATGCTTGATGAATTCTCTGTAATTTATTTGGAAAGCTTAGGGGTAATTGGTTCCTAAAAACAAGCTCAAAATATTCTGTGACTTTTGAACTTAACAATCTTGTCTTCCTCTGCTTAACCCCACTGCTACTCCACACTTTTCACTACTCCCCTTCCCCCATAGAGTACCTTATTTTTGTTTAAATCACAATGAGAGTTGAATATCAGAGGAATGACTGCTATCAAGTCAAAAGATCTGGGTTTCAATCCCTTTTCTGTCACTTACTCTGACCCCATTTTCCCCACAATCGAATAACATTTATTAAGCACCTATGTTCCAGACATTGTGTTAAGCCCTGGAGATACAATTAATAAAAAGAAAGACAGTCCCTGCCCTCAAAGAGCTTGTAATCTAATGGAGGGATACAACACACAAAAGGAGGCAGGGAGTACCTAGTGTGAGGACATTTTGTTCCATAGAGTTGAAACCAGGCAAAGCAGCTGGGTCTCAGTTTCTTCTTTTCTCAGCGAAGGTGGGGAAATAGTTAGATCAGCTGCTGTCTAAATTCTATGATTCCACAATCCTATGTAGCCTCTTGTAAGCAGGAAAGAGCCCTTGAATGAGTGGAGCAGGAGACCTTGGTTCAAATCTTGACTCTACAGCTTTCTAGCTATATGATCTATGTCAAGTTGCTTACCTTCTTTTGGCCTCAGTTTCCTCCTTTGTAAAAGGAAGGGATCAGACTAGAAATCTCCGATTTACACACACACAGAAACACACACACACACACACACACACAATGTACGCTGCTATGAAAGTGGTTAGAAAACCCGAGCTGAGGAGAAAGAGTGGTCTGGATCCCAGGCAGACCTGGGGAAGGATAGAATGATTGAAGGGATATTAGATCACCCATTTTATACTCCTAAAGTTTGAGTCTGACCAGGTCACTCCCCTGCTCAAGGTCCAGATTATTCCCTGTTCCCTCTAGGATAAAATACAAACTCTTTTATTTATCATTTAAATAACCTCACAGTCTCATGTCCGTGTGCACTGTATATATTTTGCATGTGCATAGTAATTTACATGGGCACTCCCCCATTAGAATGGGAGCTCCTTGAGGACAGGGGCATTGTCTTTGCCTTTCTTCATATCCTCAGAGATCATTACCATGCCTACCACAAAGTGCTTAATAAAATGTTTGTTGACTGACTAACTGACTCATCAGCTACAACCTATGTTTTGGAGTTGATTGTACATGTCATATTCCATCCATCCATCCAATCAATCAATCAATCAATCAATCAAACAAATTCATTAAGTGCTTAATATGTGCCAGGCCGGTCCCTGTTCTTGAGGAACTTATATTCTAGTGGTAGAGACATGTATACAAATTAGTATATAGAAAATATATATGAGATAATTTCATGATAAATTAAGGAGGGAAAGTAAGGGAACTCACTGCTAGGGTTGGTGGGATTCATTGCTCAATCAGTAGCCATTTATGAAGGACTTTCTTTGTGCCAGTCCTTCTGAGCACTGAAGATGCAAAAAAAAGTTAAAAATCAGCCCCTGCCCTTAAGGGGCTTACAATCTAATGGAAGGAGACAACATGTAAATAACTAGGTGTATACAAAATACACAGAGAGGAGATGGTGGTCAAGTGGATCTGCTGGGGGGATTTTTTTGCTTTTTTTTTTTTTTTTGCTTTTCGGTGAGGCAATCAGGGTTAAGTGACTTGTCCAGGGTCACACAGCTAGTAAGTGTCATGTGTCTGAGATCAGATTTGAACTCAGGTCCTCTAGACTCCAAGGCCAGAGCTCTATCCACTGTGCCACCTACCTTCCCCTAGTTTTTGTCCATATAGAAAATTCCGGGTGCAGCTAGCAGCACAGTGGATAGAGCACCAGCTCTCAAGTCAGGAAGACCTGAGTTCAAATCCTGCCTCAGACACTTGATCACTTGATACATACTAGCTGTGTGATTCTGGGCAAATCACTCAACTCCAACTGCCTCCAAAAAAAAAAAAAAAGAAAGGAAAGAAAACAATTCCATTTCCCACCTCCCAAACTTTGCACACGTTGTAACTGGAACAAACTCCATCCTCACCTCTGCCTTTAGAACCCTTGGATCCTTTAAGGTTGCCCTTTAAGCCTACCTCTTTCAAGGGACCTTTCCAGATCTCTGCCCAGTTGTTAGTATTATCCCCAATGCCAGAATTATTGTTTTTTTAATTTTGTATTTATCTGTAAATTGCTTGTCCTTCACCCCTCCAATGTTCCTTGAGGTCAGATACTACTTTGGTTTTTTTGTCTGTATCCTGAGCAGCCTGGCACACAGTAAATACTTAATAAATGCTTATTGAATTGAACTGAATTGAATTAGAGGGAAAAGAAGGGTTGGTTCCGGAGCTAGAGAAGTTGGTTGGTGCATTCAAGGAACATTCTAGAAAGTTCTTCTAAGTGAATTCCACATAAATGCAGCAGGGGGTAGGCAGGGTTCATTCCTTCCTTCCTGCCTGCCCTTTCCCTTCAGGTCACTTACTGATTTTTGTGGTCTTTTCATATGTCTCCTTGTTGAAATCATTCCCTTCCTTCCTTCTATTTTGTGTTTGCTTATGTGCCCATGTTGTCTCAATAGAATATAAACCCCTTGAGGGCTGGGACTGTTTCATTTGTGGTTTGTGTCTCCTGTACCTGGCACTAAGTGCTTAATAAATAAGTATTGGATTGGATTGGATTGGATTAAAATGGTAAGATTCTCCAGCCAGACCCCCCTTGGGACAAAAACCTGAGTGGTTTAAGCTAAATAAAAATCCATCTTTGGTTAGAAATAACCAAAGCATTGTTGGAAAAGTGGAGTACCTTGCTTTGTTTATGGCTCAATTCTCTCCTTTGCTGCCTGTGGACATCTTCCACCAACTGCTCTTGAATTTGTCTGTCTTCTTGTCCTACAGGACAAAAGGTAGGTTGTGTTACTTGCCAGGGTGGCTGATGGGAACTTGAATGGGCATGACCCCCCCACCACTCTATTGCATGCTGAGTTATAGGTGGCCCTCAGCTGAGATCAGGAAACCAAGTTCACTCTTGGGCAAGAAAAAGGCAGGTGACTTTATCTGCTCTCTGATCAAAAACTTCACTTGATTCTCTCTGATCTCAATTCTTCTCCAAAGCCAGAGAAGAGACAGGAGGGAAAGTGCTAAGATAGAGATTTAAATGAACTGGTTTCCATGGAGGACAGAGCCAGTATTTTCCCTTTTTAAAAAAAGACTGAGATCCTTTTGGAAGGAACATTAGATCACGGCTCTAACAAGTGAAGCTCCTACCCCGCCACTATTTTTTAATGTAATTCCTAAGATTGGGACATATGTTTCTAGGCAGTTCCCCCAGAGCTGACTCCTTCTAGCTTGTCCTTTCTCTCTCTCTCTCTCTCTCTCTCTCTGTCTGTCTGTCTGTCTGTCTCTCCTCCCTCCCTCTCTCTCCCCCTGCCTCCCTGGTCCTAAAGTCAGGAACACCTGAGTTCAACTCCTTCCTCTAACAGTTACTGGCTATGTGACCTTGGACAAGTCCTTCACCCTCTCAATGGCATAAGCAACAATAAAACCTGACATTGTAGAAAAGGTACCAACCTGCAGGATTGGTTTAGGGATTTCCCTAAAGCATTGAAATTCTATATTTTGAAGAGAGAGACAGACAAAGATAGAGAGATTAGGGTGGAGGTGAGGAGAGATGTTACAGTATTCAAATGAGTTGAAAATCTTAGAACTTCTATGAATACTAGCTATCACCATCATCATTGAAAAGAGTACTTGACTTGGTCAGGGTTAGAAGACCTGTGTCCACACCTTGGCTTTGACTCTTCCTCCCTGCAGGATCTTGCTGGCTAAGTAACTTCCCCTCTCTGAGAGGTAGTTTTCTCACCTGTAAAATGAGGCTACAAGCATCAGGAGTTCACAGTCTAATGGGGGATGTTATTGTTTCAGTCATGTCTGACTCTTGGTGACCCCATTTGAGGTTTTCTTGACAAAAGCACTGGAGTGGTTTGCCATTTCCTTCTCTAGCTCATTTGACAGATGAGGAAACTGAGGCAAATAGGGTGAAATGACTTGTCCAGGGTCACACAGCTAGTTGAGTGTCTGAGGCCAGATTTGAACTCATGAAGAGGAGTCTTCCTGACTCCAAGCTCACTCCAGTCACTGTACCACCTACCTGCCCGGTGAGGGAGACAACATGTAAATGACTGTACAAATACACAGGGTCAATTAGGGATATCAACTGAGGGAAGGCACTAGCGTTGAGGGGAATCACAGGTATTGAGCACCTCTGAAGTCAGCACCTGTGGGCAATGCCTCAGGCACTCCACTGCAGTCATGGCTCTGCAGAGGGTGTTCAGAAGAGACTTGTCCATTTCAATTTTATGGAAGTGGTGTCAGTTTCTTCAGACAGGAACTGTATGTACAATATTTAAATACCTTTTATAATTGAAAAAACTTGTGAGAATAAATGAGGTCATGTGTGTGAAGAGCATCTGGAGACCCTGGCTTTCCAAGGTGTTGGGAATGTCTGACAAAAGTCTCCTTCCATTGTCAGACTTTGGTTTTCTTTCCTGGCTTGCCCACTGCCTGGAGGGATGGGAACAGGGAAGGGGTGGGGGTCGGGGTAGGGGAACAGATTTGAGAAGATGCTACAAAGTGATTTTCTTGGTGTATCCATACCCTCCATACCACAGTGCTAGGGGGCCTCATTGGAAGGAGCAGGGTCCGATTTCCTGCCACCGCCACCCCCATCCCTACATACAACTCTACCCACCTGAGTTGTCAGGCAGAAAAGCAGAGTCCAGCAGCTGGGCGTGCGGTCAGCTTAGTCCCAGCTCAGGAGAGTTCTCAAAACAACGGCAACGACAAAAAGCAACCTTAGTTGCTTAGACTTAGTTAGACAGAGAACGAAGGGCCTGGAAGCTAGGAACCCTGAGTTCTGATGTACCTCTGCCACTAGCTTGCTGGTTGATCTGGGGCACGTCATTAAACTTCTCTGGGGTTAGACATGCAATGAGTGGTGTTTTGGAATGCAATGAGGCATGAAGTTTTGGATCTGGAGTGAGGAAGTGGGGAAGCCCTGAGTTCAAAGCTGACTTCAGACACCTAAAAGCTTTGTAACCCTGGGCAAGTCACTTCATCTGTCTCACCTTCAGTTTTCTTGTCTGTAAAATGGGGATAACGATAGCCTAGACCTCCCACAATTGTTTTGAAGATCGAATGACATCATATATTCCAAGTTCTTTATAAGCCTTAACGTGCTAGATAAATGCTAGCTATTATTATTATCATTTATAAAGCAGGAAGCAACATGGAATGAGAATGAGACAGCTGGATCATAGAATCCTAGAGAGAGAACTGGAAAGAACCTCAGATAGGTGGCACCTGAGTCAGGAAGACTCATATTCCTGAGTTCAAATCAGGCCTCAGACACTTACTAGCTGTGTGACCCTGGGCCAGTCACTTCACCCCATTTGCCTCAGTTTCCTTATCTGTAAAATGAGCTGGAGAAAGCAATGGCAAACCAGTATCTTTGCTGAGAAAACCCCAAATGAGGTCATGGAGAGTCAGACATGACTGAGAACTACTAAACCACAAAAATGAATGAGAACTGAATTTGGGGTCAGAGTATGTGAGCTCAGATCTCAGTTCTGTATCTTCCTGACTATGCGGCATGGAGCAAGTCACTGCCCATCTCTGGGTCTCGGCTTTCTCCTATTTAAATAAAATAAAGAAGTTGAATCATGTGATCACCGAAGGCCAATCTAATCCATCAACAAGCATTTGTTAAAAGTGTAGCATGTGGCAGGCACTGTACTAAGTGCTGGTGATCCAAATACAAAAGGGAAACAGGCCCTGCCTTCAAGGAGTTTACATTCTAACCAGCGAGACAATCTAAGTATAGATAATCACGTACCAAATCAATACAAAGTAATTTGGAGGGAAGAGGTCTTGGGAAAGGCTTTAATTATCAGGTGGAATTGGAGGTGAGGCTGGAAGGAAATCAGGGACTTCAGGAGGTGGAGGTGAGGAGGGAGAATATTCCAGTCATGGAACGCAGATACAGAGATGGGAGATGGAGCAGTGTGTGTGTGTGTGTGTGTGTGTGTGTGTGTGTGTGTGTGTGTGTGAGAGAGAGAGAGAGAGAGAGGTGTGTGTATGAGGAGTATGTGTGTGAGTGTGTATGAATGGGTGTGCCATTGTGTCTGTGTCTGAGCACGTGTATGGGTGTGGGCATGTGAATTAATGTATGAGTGTGTGAGTGAGCATGTGTATGAATGTGTGGGAGAGATGTGCATGAGTATGTGAGTGTGTATGTGTGAGTGTGAGGGTGTGGGTGCATGTGTGTGTGTAAGAGTCTGAGTGTGAGTGTATATGAGTTGTGGGTCAGTGTGTGTGAGTGTGTATGAGTGTGTGTGAGGGCATTTATGAATAAGTGTATGAGTATGAATGAATGTGTGAGTGAGCATGTGTATGTGTGTGTGTGTGTGTATGAATGTGTATGTGAGGGTGTGTGAGAGGTGTGCATGAGTATATGAGTGCATATGAATATGTGAGTTTGTATGAGTGCGTGAGAATGTGGGTGCATGTGTGAGTGTGTGTGTGTATGTGTGTAATAGAGAATAAGCCAACAAAACTGAATCACATGTGCATGGAGTAGGATAGAGTATAATATGACTAGAAGATAGGACGGAGTCAAGTTGTGAAGGGCCTCAAATGCCAGAGCATGGATGCAAACAAAAGCAAAAATATAAATATTCCCCGCCTGCCTTCAAGGAGTTTTCAGTCTAAGAAGGGAAGGGAACATGCCCAAGGGAGCTGAAGGAAGGAGGTGGAGCAGGAGGGTAAGGCCCACCATAGATCTTGGTGGTAAAATCTGGAGAGTCAGAAGCAGAGACAAAAGACCAACCTAGGCATGTTCCCAAAATGGAGGCCTCCCCATAAGGAATTAATCAATGGCAGAAGGAGGTTGGCATGGTGGAGAGAGGCAATGGTGATCTATTGGAGTCTGTTGACTAGAATGGTGGTCACACCTGCACTTTAGGAAAATCACTTTGGCAATTGGGTGGAGGTTGGATTGGACTGGAGAAAGACTTGAGGTGAGGATACCAATTCTTCAGCCATTGTGGTTTTTCAGATGAGAGCTGATGATGGCCCAGACTAGGGTGGCAGCTGGATGAGTGGAGAGAACGGGGCATAGATGAGTGGTAGTGTGGAGACAAAATGACAAGAATATGTAGAAGAGTCAGAGTGGGGAGCCAAGGGGATGACAAGACTGGAAGCCTTAGTGACCAGAAGGATTAAGTTTGGGAGGAAGCTGATGAGATGGGTTTGGATGGGATGGGTTTGAGATGCCTACAGGTCATCCAGGTGGAACTGTCCAATAGTCTGTGATGTGGGAAGAGAGCTTAGGAGGAAGACCAGGGTGGATATATAGACCTGGGAATCAATTGCATAGAGATTATAACTGAGCCCATGAGAGCTAATGAGGTCATCAAGGGAGAGACTAGAGAAATAAAACAGAAGATGGCCCAGGACAAAGCCTTGGGGGATACCCAGAGTTGGGGATGGGGTATGAATAATAATTCAGCAACACAGATAGAGAAGGAGCAGTCCGACAAGAAGAAGGAGAACCAAGAAAGAACGGTATCATGAAAACCCTTAGAGAAGAGGGGATATCCAGGAAGAGAGGGGGTCCACAGCATCAAAGGCTGCCCAGAAGTTAAGAAGGAGGAGGCCAGAGGAAAGGCTTTTAGATCTGGCAACTGGGAGATCACTGAGAAGTCTGTAGAGAACAGTTTCATTGAAATAATGAGGTCGGAAGCCAGACTGCAAAATTTAGCAAAAAAAAGTGAGAGGAGAGCAATAATATTGGGTGCAGACAGCTTTCTCAAGGAGTTTGTTTGATAAAGAGAGCAGATATAGGACA